ATAACGGGTTGTACAAATATTGCCACCAATACACACGAGATTAAAATAGAGGATAAATGACACATACACACGAAATTGTTTTAATCACATACATACCGCACAAATGTTATGTATTTACATATAAAATACCTAAACTTTCATATTTACTTATATAACACTCACATATTTCATATCACGTTAAAAATACTAATTTTTAATAACTTTTTAAATGTAAAATATATATTTTCATGCATAGGTTTATGACACCAAGACGCTATAAGTGTGAATATCAAATTTTAGGAACTAGATATATAAATGCATAAGACTTTATTTGAAATGATTTATGTTTTTTTTTTTTTGGGTTAAAATTTACTTTCCGGACCACTGTTTCAATTGTCCGAACTGAGACTAGGAGTGTGCAATATTTGGATAAATCCAAAAGACTGGTCGGAACCGAACCGATTTATTGATTTGGTTCGGTTTTTAAAATAAAGGTTTGATGTTCGGGTTTAAAGTTTGTATAGTTCAGTTTATCAGTTACGGTTCATTTAAAAAAAAAAAAAAACCAACCAACTGAAAACCGGTTTATATGTGCAGAAGATCGGTGGAACGAGCGACCGAAATGTATAGCGAATATTTTACTTTAAGATATAAAAATACTGTTTTAACTGATTTAAAATTTAATTTTTGTTTCTTATAATCCGAGCTGATAAAAAATCGGTTTGATTGGTTTGTTTCTCATGAAAAATTATTTGGATAGGTTATATGAATCGTCAATTTCTTGATGATTTGTAAGATATCCAGACTGATCCTGCCGAACTGACCGAATGCACGCCCTAAGCCTTCCATTGCAAAAAATAAGAATCTCCCTCTCTCCCTCTCTCCCTCTCTAAATTTTGTGGGAATTAAGAGTGTATGAGTGAAAAAACGGCTTGAGTTACTAGTTTGGCATAAAACTTTTTGAATAATTAGATAAGTAACCGTTTGTTTGGTTAAAATTGGAAAGTAAACAAAATTATCTAAGTTTTATAGGTATATAATATTTTATTAGTTTAATTTTCTTGAAAATTATGCAAGTGGAACAAAATGCATATTGTGGATATCATAATCATTTAAATCACAAAATATCAATCAAATTGAAGTAATAAGTCTATATCGATACTATAAAAGAAAAAAAAAATATCTCTCATGTCTCATGTCGTGATATTTTCAAAGTTAGAGAATTTGGTATTGTCAGTGAGACTTGTTATATCGAAAAATTATATGAACGAGCATGAAAGCTGTTGTTTTTTAATAAGAAACTTTTAAATTCATGATCATCTGAGATCTGATCTTATCAAATATATAATCAAATTGAGCGTCTCAGCAAGACTAACTCAAAAAATTTAAAATTGGGTCCATCTAGGTCCAATCATGCTCAAATCAAATTGTTGAAGCAAAATTGAAAGCTTTTTATCAGTAATTGAATGATCAAAAGAATTTAAAATTTGATATATTTATAGTCGAATGAAGCATATTGATGAGAGGAATCCAACGAGCCTAAGATCGCTCAATTCCGAGGTCATTACAACTCTCAAATTCTTAAAAGATGTTAATCACCTATGATCAAAGGAGATTAGCATAAACCGCTTGATCAGGTTATTAGAGAAGTTATGCTTCAAAAAATCAAAATGATTCTATCAAAGAATTATAAAGAAGTCATCTTTCTTCACTGGGTGAGAGGAGAAGAAAAAAAGTGAAGTGAAATTCAATAGTTTGTTCTAGAGAGAAGACTCGACGAGTAACCACCGTCTTCATAGCCGCCAGCAACGATCGACCACTGACTGTTGCAGCCCCTGACCACTGTCAAGCACAGCCCGCTATTACCATATGTAGCCGTCGACCACTAGTTGTGGACAACCATTGCTTACAACTATTTTATGTAGCCAAACAATGACTAGTGTTGAATTTCCTAATACTTGATTTATTTTAAGACATGTAAAGACAAGTCTAGTTTTCAGTAAAAGATTTTAATCACACACGCACTCTGAGTGAAGGTTCTATCATTATACTTACAAAAGTATAAGATATTACTTTGACTGCGTTATGCCGCATGTTTTTTTTTCTCATCAAGTGTTTTTCAACATGAAAGTTATGGTGTCTTCCTGTGTTATATATATATATATATATATATATAACATCAACAATTGGTTATATATATATATTATTTTGTGTACTGAAATTTCATATAATACTAAGACAATTAATCACCACTCCATGATCGTGAATTTTTCGGCATGTAATAAGACTAACAAAAAAATTGTGATGTACGCGAGACATGAATCTCCTATATGAATCATGAATAACAACACTTTAAAATAGATTTAGCAAGTTGAGATAAAGAAATGATCTAATTCTCAAAAAACACTCGAGAGTTTTTACCATGAACCCAATTGTAGGATTACAAATGCACCGAGCCAAGCTAAGCAAGTGCCTACTGGAGCTTGAGCTTGATTCAAGCTTTTAAGATTACGTGTGAGCTCAAACTCATTTATAAATATTTTCATCGAGCTCTAACTTGTTTATAAATTTTTTGATCGGGCTCGAGCTCGAGCCCGAGCTCAATTCAAGCTCTCGAGCGCAATTCAAGCTTTTAAGATTAGATTTGAGCTCAAGCTCATTAATGAATATTTTGATCAAGCTCAATTCGAGCTTAGTTTATACAAGGTTTATCAAGCTTATTAACCAACAACTTGTTTAATAAATAAATAAGTCTTAATCAAGTCTTAATGCAGCTTTAATTGAGACTTCCTTGAGCTTTTTACAAGCAACTTTGTTATCAAAAGTAAACATGCCAAATCAAAAAATGCTAGTTGTGCCTAAAATTCAACATTTAAAAGGTAGTGTTCATGAATGAGCTGTAATCGAACAGTAATTGAGGCCTAATCGAACAGTAATCGAGTTTTAAATGACATTATACATGGACATAAATGAACCAAATGCCATGATGTTGAATTCCATTCATTTAGTAATAGAATACCTATGAGAGTGATCAAGCTCATTTAATTAATTAATTAAACGACGATGAACAAGCTTTAATAGAGCTGAGCTATAAGAAGCTTATCGAATGCTCCGTTTGCAACCCTATCCAATGATCGCATGGATGGATAATTGTTGTTGTTAATTTAGAATGGGAGCTTAGATTTGATTTCGTGAATTATGTCACAAACATCCTTATGTGCAAATAAAGAGGTGGTGGAATGTGGTAGTTTTACATATTATTGTCCCCCCTTAAAAAAATCATGCTATGAGAATAATAAAAAAATTCATAAATTTCTCTATGTATAGTTGGCTTAATGAGGATTGGAAAGAAAGCTGTAGCCTATCTTAGCAACAAAATGTGTTAGTATTGGCTTTTGATATATGGTGTAGCATATATTTTTTTGAACTATTAGATTTAAATCTAGAATAATTGAGGATTTGAATGGTTGCATTTATAAATTATACATGTCACATTTGTCTATATTAAAAGTGGCTATAGTGGGCTTGATCTAGTTTGCCTTAGATAAGATATTCATCAAACAAAGCAAGTAAATTTAAGTCCATAGTAAGAAAATTGAAGAGAAATACTACAAAATTTTACTATCAATATTCGAAAAATTGTAAAACAATGCAAAGTCTCCCCTACTTTTAATTATCTTAAAAATAGAGAAATTAAAACCCACTTGAACTAACCAAATATCATTTTTTATGTTGTGGGGAAGTATTCACATATCTAAAGTCTAAATATTACATTTATATAAAATTTTAGTAACTAAATTATATAAAAATATCAGTAATATTAATTTACTTAAGCTGAACTACACTTTTATATATATCAACATTTTGATATGATTAGATATTATAGTTATATAACAAACAAAGCAGTTTGACATACATATCGCATTCTACTTAATCCTTAAGTTTTCACTTATATAATTTCTAAATATTACATTTATATAAAATTTTAGTAACTAAATCATATAAAATTATCAATAAGATTAATTTATTTGAACTAAAATACATTCTTTCATGCACATGCCTTGACATAATTCAGACACTAAAGTTGCATATAAATAAATACAAATGTTTAGATATTAGATGTGTGTGTACGTGCATTTATTTATTTATTTATAACTTTTGGTATATATTAGATATGTAGTTTCATAAAGATTATGTAGCATGTGCATAAATTAAACACCTTTTTTTTTATGTATAGGTGGTGAGATCATCTTACAAAGGTTTGAATAATTAGGGTATCCCTTAAATTATAAGTGGACTAAGAGCTTAAAGAACATAGTAGTAGAGTAACAAAAACATTCATTTTTTAACATGCTACTCATGGCTCAACTCAAAAAGAGCTCATTCAAGTTCAATTAATTAATTAATCAAATAATTTGATTTTTTTTATAAATACTCAATTATTGAACACATAAATGTAAATAGTCTATTACTCAAATTATTCATGACCATAATTAATATTATTTAAAGTTTTTTCTTGATAACTTGATTTTCATTTTTATTTGAACATTTAGTCCTACATGGTTAGGATATTTAAAAATTAGTATTGCTTATAAATTGTGAAGGACGAAGCAAGTTGCAACCCATGTGATTTTATAGGTAGTTGTTCGATATAATGCTCTGGAACTTTTAATGAACTTATTAAAAGTTTAAATCTTGTTAAGTTATTATTATTTTTTAATTATGATGTGCAATAAAATTTCATAGTAAAGTCTCAAGAGACTCATTTATTCTTATAAACAAGCTTCCCATTCAAAGTTCAGTAATCATAACATGAATTTAAGGTGGAATAAATATGATTTTAAAGTGAATTAAACAAATAAAATACAAAAAAGCCCAACGAGACAGTATCGCTAAAATGTTCATCTGGCTTGAGTCCAGTAGCCCAGCAGGCCGAACTATCTGGGCAGCCCATGGCAGAAACAAAGGACACGATCTTGAACGTGGGGTAAAAGGGCAGTTCCGCTTGCCTCCCATCTATCGGCACTCTCACACTCAACGCACACTCTTCCTTCGTTCCTCTTCCCAGCTGTTAATCTCACTGGTCCGTCATCTCTTACAATGTTCGCTAAGATCTTCCGGCGTTGCAAGGAGGATTCGAGCTCCGTTTCTTCCTCTAGCAAGCTTCAGCAGGTTTATCTTCTATTTTATTTATTATCCGTCGTCTCAATTCGAATTGGCTTCCTCCTCCATATAGAGTAGGGCACTGAAAGGCACCGGCGTTGGGTATTTTTCGGACCCGTTACTCATTTTTTGACAACTTTCACTATCAATGACTTAGTTATTCCTTGGGTTTTTATTTTCTAGTTGCGATTGTAAGCAGTGGAAGCGGGGTTAGGAAATCCTTGTGTTAGAGTTACGGATTGGGTATTTCTGTCTCGATGAGACCAATGTAGTGAATTTTATAGATATAGATTAGTCTCTAGATTGACAATGTGAAATGGTTGTAGGTTTTTCGTTGGAAATATATTGGTAGCCTGGGCCTTGAAGCAGAAGACAACCTGGTTTTTGATAGAATTTTCATGTGAGATCTATTGAAGATTGGTGTGTCTTGTTAAAGTTTGGATGAACATTCTGCCGAATTGTTATTTTATTAATGGATTTAGGGCATAACATTGAGACCCATCTTATTTTTTATAGTTCTTTTCCAGAACTCAATCACCCATTTCATGTTAAGTTTTCTTTCCTAGTAATGGTTGTAAGTCTTTAAAGCAGGGTTAGGGAATCGTAACACCAGTATTATGTTTGAGAACATTTGGTTTGGATTGGGGAAGATAAAGGTGAAATTTTTGAAATAGGAAGAAGTTCTTACTTGAAAGAAAATTGAAATTGATACAGCTTTTTCAATGGAAATGTAGATGTTTATGTTGTTTTTTCAGACTGATTTTGATAGAAGACTTGACGTGTGAGATTTAGAGGCTCTTTGGTGGCCACAATTAGACATAGTAAATCCCTTAAATGTAGATTTAGTTACTATAAAAATTTTCTAAATCTATAAAAATTTTTTAGTTACTATAAAAATTTTCTAAATATTGATAAATATTTGGCTATTTGTTTCAAGATTAAAAAAACTATGAGAGGGGAAACCCTTAATTCCATTAAATTCTTATAAACGTTGGGATTTAACAAATTTTGGTTTGGCTGTTGTTGGTATAAATGGTTGAGAAATTACTATAGAAAAACATCTGGAAAAAATTGTCGTGAGTATTGTAGATGGAATTTTTTTTATTGTGCTTATGGTGTGGATGATATACAAAAATCAAATAACATGATTTTTGTTTGATAAAAAGATTTAACTATTAATGAGCTGTTTTATCGTCCCCAAAGATATAAGCATCCTCATTCATTCCTTTTTTTTCTTTTACAATATAATAAATTGATTATATTTCATAAATAAATTAAGTAGAGTGGATTAAAAATTAAGAATTTGATACTTCATTCAGTGAAATAAATTGGGGAGCATCTCTATGTATATAGCTCATAAAAAACATGTGTCTGAAAATATGAATATGTGATACTATACAATATACATATATTGAAGAATAAATAAAATTACACTCCTTTATTTAAAGCTTTTTTGTTTATCTTTGTGTTTATTTGTATACTATGTAAAATGAAGCTCCAGGGCATAAATTTCAGTGTATTTTGAACTTTTATCAACCCTTCTTTTTTCAGAAGGAACTTTTTGATATCTATTTTAAAATTTTCTCCAGAATGCAGCTTCGTTTGGGTTGGTAATTTTTCATATTGTGGGTGGAAAAAGTTATCCAAACACTTAACTGTCTTTGAAATTTAGATTTTCATAGGAAAAAAAACAGGGGGAATACCAAACAATATAAGGTCCTAAGTGTGGATCAGTATTGAAGTGCATTATAATATTTCATTCTAGTTTTATAGAATTTTTCCTAGATAAGCTACATTTATGTCTGCTATGATTATCAATTTGCAGGCATTTGAAAAGCTTGAGAAGAAGGAGATTATTTTGCAAGAAAAGATTGCTGTAGAGATTGAGAGAGCCAAAGAATTTACGAAGGCAAAAAATAGACCTGGTGAAAATTACTTTAAATTTTTAAATTCAGTATCACTAAGTCTCTTGGAATTTAGTACTGGCATGCTACATTTTGGCTATGATTTTGTTGTTGTACGTAAATTATTGGCATGCTCTATATAGATTGCACTAGTTCTTTCTGTTTTTTCTCTGCATACTAAATGGTGTGTTTGCCAGTGAGCCTAATTGGTCATCATAGACTAAATTTTATTTGTTGTAAACCATAACCACATGCTCCAAAGTGGCCCAATCATATTTTTTATGTTTGTTTTGTGGCACTTTTTTACGTTTACATGGAATATTTGGTAATTTTGGAGGAAAAACCTATGCATGCTTGAATCGCTAGAATTTGTCAATATTTTATTTTTATTTTATTCACAGCTGCACTGCAATGCTTGGTGAGGAAGAAATTTTATGAAGAGCAAATTGAGCATCTTGGGAGCTTTCAAATGCTTATTCATGACAAGGTCATTCTAAATAATGTAATCATGTCTTTAAAAAACGTGAGAAAAAATACAGCGAGCACTCTGTTTACCAGCCCTTTATGTATTTCCTGCAGGAGCAAATGCTGCAGAAGAAATCATCTGTAAATGGCAGTCAGCTTCAACGAATTACTAGAAATGTTAATAGGAACTTTGAGAACAACAATATTCGTGCTACTTTGCACGCAACTTTGAAGTAAGTTCCTTTGCACATAATCTTGTAAGATATTCGTAGTATTTATTTTATTGTTTTGGTCTTGGTGATAATTTGTCATTCTTCTTTAAGGTTGGCCATCAATATTTGAGTTCTTCTTTGTTTGATATGTGTGTGTGTGTGTGTGTGTGTGTGTGTGTTACTCATACAAGCATATTTATATCATATGTAAATTAAAAAAAAATGTCAGCATATCTTCGTCAATATAAACTTTAGCCCACTTCTTTTTTTATTTTCTATTCTTATCCATTGAATGTTGTTTGAAGATAATTTTGTAAAATATATTACATTTAAATATTTATACATATATAAAATCTTATTTTGTTAATGAACTTCTCACATGCATACACATGTGCGCGTGCATGTTTGTGTCAATGTACATTTAAGAATTTAGGATTCACAATTTCACTTAATATGTCAACAACTTCCTTTAAACTCAACATAAAAAATATTAGAATTATAACCCAAACAATATTGTAGCAATTGAATAAATTTGAAGCCATAAACTTATCATAATTAATTTTTTTTGCGCCCAGTGTAAACAAAATCACGACACTAGCCAATAAGAAAATACGTAGAATAATAAAATCAAAGAAATTTAGGCCTTGCACTAATGATATAAGGAGATGAATCCGTTCAAGTTAGGACAAGATCCGATTTGTACATTCACAATTGGAACTGAAAATTCATGACAGAGGGAGAAAAATTGATGACAGTGACTCTTTTTTTTGGAAGAAAATGCTCTAGCATGGTCTCAATGGAGAGAACAACGTTAGCCAATCTGAACATGAGAAGAATTCAATGTCCAATTGTTGGAGTGCTTCAGAACCACATAGGAAGGGATTTACACGGGTAGTTTTTTGTTTTTATTCATGAAGGATCCGTCATGGAGAATAGGAAGAAATTTAATATGTTATCCAACCGTTTAAGAGGTATATCAGAAGAATTGTTGGAAGACAATTTCAATAAAAGGTTGAAGCCAGAGACTCGAGCATCACTTCGCCTGCTGAGATCCCGAAAATTGGAGAAAACTATGGAATTAGTGCAGTTGGTTGAAGATAAAATGCAATGAACTAGACTATTAGGAGCAACAAAGGTGGAGCATCACTATTATAACCACAACGATACAAAAAGCTGAAATAGTGGAAATCCAGATAGAGGCTCTACATGACAGAAATAAAGGGCTATGATTGGGGAAGACCCTCACGACTTACATAGACATAGATTCAGGAGAAGCGGGCCAAGTGGTCATGTTTTTGGTTTGATGAGAAGTTTTTCCTAGGACACCTTTGCAAGGATTAGATATTACAGATGCTCGTAGTGTGTGACGAGGAGGCAGGGGATGCAGAAACAGAGAAGGTTGTGGTGGAGTAGAACACCCTCTTAGATGTGGCAGAAGACTTATTGAATTGGATGGTGAGATTTACACCGAACCACACTATGAAACTTTAGGGGCAGAGCATAGAGCATGATATTGTTGTGTTGATAAATAGTGGGGCTACTCATAACTTCACCTCTACTCAAATAGTGAAACAATTGAGGCTTGTGATGGTGGATATAGAAAGTTTTGGAGTCATGATCGGGATGAGACATGTATAGAAGAGCAGGGGAGTTTGTAAAAGAGTAATTTTAACTTATCAGACATTCTGGTGATCGACGAATTTCTTCTCTTGACTTTAGGGAGCACTAACGTGATATTGAGTATGAAATGGTTGCAATCCATTGGGAAGACTAAGATAATTGAAAACTCTTAACCATGGAGTTTCATGAGGGAGATAAGATGGTGGTGCTTCACGGTTGACTCTAGTTTGTGCAAGCTCTGGTGTCAGTGGATCCATCTATGGTGGCGGGTATGTTGGAGGGGCCACCACCAAAAACCTGTAAGAGTTCAAGAAGGTTATGAGATTTACATGATACTACCGGAAGTTCGTGAATGGTTATAATTTGATTGTTTTCTTGGACGAAAAACTTAAAGAAGGATAACTTTCAGTGGGGGTAGCAACGACTTATACTTTTGAGAAGTTAAAGCAAAGCCATAACGAGTGTTCTAGTGTGACGACGCGAATCAGACGTAAGCCAATTTATGAGCAGAAGCCACACATGGCTTGATTCAGCAATAATTTTTTCCAACTCGAGGTCAATGTCTTTTTGGGAGGGGAGTATTGTTACTTTGTTGCCTAGCTTAAGGATAATATTATCTTTTAGCCTAAGTGCAATTTAATCCTTCATTATTATTATTTTTTGATATAAATAGGGCCTAATAGTTTAGGGTTTGGGTTATGCAGGAGATTGGGTCTTGAGTCTTAGGTTTAAGGTTGGGAGAGATTACCGCTACCTCTTGAATTGTAGGATATGGGAGAGATTGCCTACCTCTCTAATTGTAGGTGCTTATCTTTATGTATTTGTGTTGTGTTGGTTGGTGTTCATGAAATAAAATTATTTTGTGATCTAATTTCTCTGGAAAATCTCTATTGGATCCTATCAAAGTGGTATTAAAGCGTTCAATTATGATAACAAATACCGGGTCACTGCATTTCTATAGAATTTTCGTGATTCAAGCTGAGGGGATTAGTGGTGTGGCCTAAGCCTCACGAAACAATTACTAGTCCAATGAGCTGGGAAGCCTACGACAGGATCCAATGTTTGTGACCCAACATCATGACGATTCAAATTGCGATAAAGTTGCAATCGAGCTAGCTGGGAAGTGACGACATGATCTTGTACAACAGAGGGCTACGAAGGATCTGAGTGATATAGTCGCGGTAATACCTCACGTAGAAGGCAACGACGGGATCACAACTTACAGAGACCCTTAACTGAATAACTTTATTCGTGGAGAAGGCAATGATGGGATCATGACTTATCGAGACCCAAAACTTTTTTCTTCATTGAGAAGTCAATGATAGGATCGCAACGTACAGAGACCCAAAACTTCATTCTTTCTTCGTGGAGAAGGCAACGACAGGATTGCAATTACAAATTTTGCGAAGGCAAAGACTGTATCGTGGTTTATAGAGACTTGAAACTTGTGGAGAAGGAAACACCTGGATCAAGCAACAACGAATCACGATGTATAGGAGTTCCACACCCCTCTTGATTGAAATATGTGATCGGGATCACGACGTAAATGAGTTCTGTATCGCTTATGACAGAAACTCATAATCAGGATCTGCGACTTACAGGAATTCAAATTACAACTTCCATAGTTTTGCATGACTTCTAATAGTTCCACCGAATCGCATATAGGAATTTCAGGATTACAACGTCTAGAGTTTCGTACATGCTGAATCCGCATTCAGAAATTCTGAATCTTGTAATCTTAGCATAAAGGAGTTTCAACATTGTTTAGGAGAAATGGTAAGAAAAAAAGTGGATGCTTTGGAGAAAAAAATAACGGAAGAGGTCGGTCAAATCAGATCTTGAATAGTCTAGCGTTTCTCAGCAATGGAAGGAAGGTTGGAGGGAAGGTTTATAACCCTAGAAGAAATGACAAGGAAGATTGCAGAGTTTCACATAAATCTTCCACTGCCTACAACGAGATTTAGCGAAGACGTTTGGAACGAACAATTGCGATAACAGTCAAAAGTAATTCACATGACATCAGGGCAATAACATTGTCTAAGGTGGATCTGCAGCTGCGAGAACAGGTGAAGGAATGGGAAGCGGATTCGAGTTAGCACTACGAAGGAATGACATGACATCCAAACAGTTGGAATGAAAGGCAACAGACAAAATGGTACGACGGGTGATTCGGGGCAAGAGAAGATCAGGTTAAAAGTTTCTGACCTAGAGCAGGGATCCATGGTGGGGGCGACCCGACAGAGGGCTGCATCCAACCGTACTAGAGCCTTTTGTAATTTTGGAGCTTATGGGGATGATCGAGCTGATTATGGGGTGTGCCAGAGTTATGGAAGAAAAGAAATCAATACGGGTCGAGGAAAAGAAACCAACCCCTGCTTTATGGGTGGAATGAACTTCGGTCAAAGAAATTTAGGAGACTCGCGCATGAGGAAGTTGAAGATGTAGATCTTTGAAGGAGATGATGTTTATAGCTGTGTTTATCACGTGGAGAGATACTTTGCTGTTAATGGGATGACAAAGAAAGAAAATTTGATGGCAGCAACTCTGTGTTTGAAAGGAAAGACTTTAGTATGTTATCGATGAGCGAACAATGTTAGCCAGCTCAAACATGAGAAGAATTCAAGGTTCAATTGTTTGAGTACTTTAAAACCACATGGGAAGGAGATTTATTTCAGCATTTTTTTTTTCGCATTGGCCAAGTAAGAATTCATCATGGAGAATAAGGAGAAATTTGAGATGTTATGCAATTTTTTAAGAGGGATATCCGAAGAAGTATTGGAAGACAACTTCATTAAAGGGTTGAAGCCAAAGATTCGAGCATCACTACGCTTGGTGAGATCAGGAGGATTGAGGATAAAAGTGTAGTGAAATAGGTTATTAAGAGTAGGTGGAGCATCATACCGAACTATTACAACCATAACGTTACAAAAAGCTCAAAGAATGGAAGTCCAGATAGAGGCTCTACAGGACAAGAAGGATGACAGAGAAAGAAAATTTGATGGCAGCAACTCTGTGTTTGAAAGGAAAGACTTTAGTATGTTATCGATGAGCGAACAATGTTAGCCAGCTCAAACATGAGAAGAATTCAAGGTTCAATTGTTTGAGTACTTCAGAACCACATGGAAAGGAGATTTATTCGAGCATTTTTTTTTTTGCATTGTTCAAGTAAGAATTCATCATGGAGAATAAGGAGAAATTTGAGATGTTATGCAATTTTTTAAGAGGGATATCCGAAGAAGTATTGGAAGACAACTTCATTAAAGGGTTGAAGCCAAAGATTCGAGCATCACTACGCTTGGTGAGATCAGGAGGATTGAGGATAAAAGTGTAGTGAAATAGGTTATTAAGAGTAGGTGGAGCATCATACCGAACTATTACAACCATAACGTTACAAAAAGCTC